GGGATTTTGGGTGTGTTCCTGCTGTAATAAATCCAAATTTTGTTCGCACCGGAAATGGGTGGAAACGTGGGGAAGTTTCGGTAGGGTGGGATGTTTCAATTTTAATTTTTTCTTTTTTTTTTAAAATTCATTTTCGGTACATGTTATCTTTATTTTACTGGTTATTAACCAAACTCAAGGCATCTCCAAAGGAGACCAAAATGCACTAAATTTGGGTTCAAAAGGCCTCCAATGTATCACCAATCTTTGCATCATTTTGGTGCAAAATAGTGCAAGGTACGGTTGGACAAAACTCTCGAACCGAATCGAACTCGAACCGAACTGAATCCGACAGTTCTTCTCAAATTAAATACCCGAACGGGTATTTTAATCAAGAACCGTCGGGTACGATTCGGTTCTGGTTCTAGGCCAAGACCCGAAGAATCGAATCTCTTTAATTTTTTTATTTTAAATAAGCAAAATTATTTTTTTTTCTAAATAAATTTCTTAACTAGTTAATTTACTTTAAACCACAAAATATGATTTTTCTATTTCTAATTTTCAGTTCAAAATCAATTTAATCAAATTGACCTGAATTTTATCCAAATCTGTTACTCTACTGTAGTGTCGTTTCTATTGGAGAAAATCGAATTAAAGTCAAATTAAAGCTCTACAACATCTCTCTTAAATATTTTGAGCTCGCTATCTTTCTCTTTTTGTGATTTTAATAATCAAATTTATGAAGAATTCAGTAAAGAGAGATGTAAAAGACACATAAGATTGGACTACGTTATTTTGTAAGAGCTAATATTGAACACATCATTAATTAAATTAATGTAACTTTGTATATATTAAAAAATTTAATTATAATACGGAACCGAATGGAACTGAATCGAACCGAACCGAACCCGAACGGTTCCATAATTAAATTTGAACCCGACGGTTCCACTTATTAAATATCCGAAAATTTCCGGTCGGTTCGGTTCTCATTAGAACCGAACCGAACCATGTCCAGTTCTAGTGCAAAGTGAATAGTGTTGCAACATAAATGATGTAAAGTCAATTTTACCA